TTCCTCTCTCCCCGCTCCTCTCCTCTCCCCCCCTCTCCTCTCCTCTCCTCTCCACTCCCCTCCCCTCCCCTCCCCTCCTTTCTTTTCTTTCTTTTGTTCTTTCACTTGGTCAATATATAAATAATTACTAACAGTTTTACATAAATTTTTTTGTATGACAGCTTTTGACTAGTGCTTATCTCTAGACTGGCTCTCTGTATTCTAGCAGGGTAGCTGGACAATTTTCATGGCAGAGGTGAATGGTGAAGGTAATTTGTACACAAGTTTCCTGAATAGGAGTAGGAGTTGTTCACACATGCATGTTACTGGCTTAAAGCAGCCATAGCTGTGCAATGGCATTTCTTTGTGTTATTGGGTACAAGCTGAGTATGGAGAGTTGGAGAGGGAGAAATGGGAGATGCAACAAGGGAAGGGGAGACAGGAGGAAGAAAGACAGAGTGATCTGGGAATGCTAAGGGAGTTGAACTGAAAGGGAGTTCGTTGAAAAGTATGAGATTGACAGGACTTTAGGAGCTTTTGGAGTCCTTTTATAGACCAGGTAGGTGCTATTGGGCATGCAGTTATGATGGGGTAATTTCAGCGAGAGGAGCAACACTGAAAAGCAGGATTGGTTCAGTAGCCCCTGAGAGGGAAAATGTAGATATAAAATGATAAGAAAAGTCCTGCTGTAAGTGCTGTTCTCTTCCCTGAAAGTGAAAAGTGACACTTGCTTTGCCTGTGTAGGGTGTGTGGGAGGCCAGGAGCCCTGAGGGTTTGGTGGGGAGAGGGGAGAAATCATGGAGTGGGAGTAGGAGGGGAGAGGGAGAGCAGACAGTACAGTTGGGACCAGAGGATGGGAGAGGTAAGAAGCTAGAAGGTCCAAAGGAGTGTGGAGAGCTGCAGGAGCAAGGGAAGATCCAAGGAGAATGGGGTGGAAGGGGAGGCTGCTCTTTGCATGTGTTCCTTGCACTGCTAAGTGATGGAGTCCTACTAACTCCAAGGGCTCAGGATCAAGAGGGCTTCCTTGCCCCAGTGGAGCTATCCGGGAGCCATTCTGGATGATCACCCTGTCTTCTTTTGAAGTCTGTCCAGAAAGAGTTGGATCCCTACTGCTGGCAAAACGTGTCTTAACTTGGAGTATCTTACTTAATTTATTGCCAAAACCCCCACAAAAACATTTACTTGCTAAGAAAATAAAGGGGGCGTGCTCCTGCGTCGGGCGCCCTGCCTCAGCGTGGCCGCAGGTGCGTCGCTGTCCCTTGGGCCATCCCGAGGACCCCCTCCTGCCTCCAAGCCCTATGGCGCTTGTTGCCCCGCTGCCCTGGCCCTTCCCAGGGAGCAGCGCAAGGATGAGCTCCAGAACTGCTTTGGCCGAGGCTCACAAGAGGCCATGGGCTGTGGCCGGCCTGCCCTGCTCAGCAGGGCGCAGCAGGCCCAGCACTGGCCGTGTCCCCTTCGTTCTCACCGAGCCGGAGACTGGAGCACTCCCACGATGAGCAGGCACACGAGTGGCCCCAGTGCTTGGTGGCCTTGGGAAGGTGCCCACCATGGGGAACGTGGTCAGATGGCGCTGGGGAAGGGCCCCCTGCACCAGGGGTTGCTTGCCAGTCAAGGCAAGGACTAGCCCATGCTTGTGGCTCTGGGGTGGTGGTGGAAAGAGTAATCCATGGTGGGGAGCAACATCCGTGGCTGACTCTCTCTACCTGCGTGGAAGAAATAGCACTAAATAATCGCTGATATTTGTGGGGGGGAGCTGAGACTTGCCCATGTTGGGCTAATTTCTGAGACGGTTTTACTCTGTCTTCTTCCCAAGAGTGAAAGGTGTCTTCACTTCTGCTAGGGTTTCCAACAAGCCATTTACAATCCCTTGCTGTTGGCACCTTAGCAACAACAACAAAAAAAATTTCCCCACCACATTCATGCTTCATTTCTGTCAATATTTCCCCAAATAAATATTACTGGTTTGATTGTCCAGATGGGATGAAAGAAGAGACAGAAGTGACTGACAGGCAGTGGCAATTTAGAAGAAAAGTGGGAAGGGAATGAGGGAAAAATGGATAAAAGAAAAAAGAAAAAGCAGTGTTAAAACCCAAGTCCAACTTATGCTTTAACAATCAAATCATGAAGCCTTGAGGAACTGTTTGCCAGTGAGATAAGAACATTACGGACCAATTTTGAATGCTGAAAACTAAAATCTCTGCTCTTCAGCTGCTCACTTTATATTGGCTGCAGGATGCTGAGCACATGGCGCAGCAAAGTACATCAAGGCGTGAGAGGATGTTCAGTGGCACGTTATTGACCCTATTATGTGCTCCTGCTTTGCTGAGGAACTACCAACAGCAATGAGGGTGTTTCTGATTCATTGCAACTTTTTATTGCCATTTAATTTAATAGAGGAGGAAATTTGTGATGAGAAAACCTCCCAGTGAAATTGCCAACTCAATTTATCTACAGAGAAAAGCATGTCCAGTGTAATCGTGTTGGCCTTACCTATGATATACTTAGATAATACTCTTTAATTCTGGGCAATATAATAGGAAACTGGTTCTATACTTGGTATGGAGAAGACCTTCAAGATTCAAGTCCAACTGTAAACCCTTCAACCCCCTGCCTGCTAAACCACATCCCTAAGCGCCTCATCTACACATTTCTCGAGCACTGCCAGAGACAGTGACTCCACCAATTCCCTAGGCCTGTTCCATCCAATGCTTCACCAATTCCTAGTAGAAATTTTTCCTAAAACCTAACCTGAACCTCCCCTGGCAACTTGAGGCCATTTCCTCTTGTTCTATCTGTAATTACTCTGGAGAAGAGATCAACCCCCACCTCACTACAGCCTCCTTTCAGGTAGTTGTAGAGAGCTGCAAGGTCTCCCCGGAGCCTCCTCTTCTCCAACCTGAACAACCCCAGCTCCCTCAGCCACTCCTCATAAGGTCTTTGCTCCAGCCCCTTCACCAGCTCCGTTGTCCTTCTTTGGACATGCTCCAGTGCCTCAACCAGCTTCAGTCCCATTCAGCAGTGGGCCTATGCTTTTGACAGCTTTTATGTTCATACCCATAGCTCTTAGTCTGGGAAAGAAAGAATATCCCACGTTCTACAGAAAACAAACAGTGGATGTCTCAAAACTTAATCTAGTGCTCTCTGCTCTCACCAAAATGCTGCCACCCCTTGGCACCGGTCTCTGGTCTTTAGGGACTGAAATGCTGAGTGAGCAGGCTGGCTTATGGCAGACCTTGTGACATCCCAAAGATCAGTTTCATTCAGGATCTATTGGGATAAAGCTGTATGAAGAAGGAATCTGTACCAAAGCAATCAACTTGATATTGGAATACAATCAGTATTTAGAATCTATTTAGAATCTAGATATCTTTGTTTCTCTATACGCTTTTTTTATTCATGTCTCCCAAGCCACTACCTGCAGCCATATGTTCAAGCAGCAGAAGACCTGGCCCTGTAGGAATCTCTAGGAGTTTCGCCACTGGTATCAATCTCTCAAGATATCACCTAAGATTTTAATTAATATGTATGTCTTCTCTTACTCCTCAGCCAACACCCACACAGAGAAAATATCTCTGAGTATATTTCAGGTTGCTAGTTGTCATGTATGTTGTGATAGATAAATAACTCATACACGAAGAGAAAGTTCAGAAAAAGTTCAGATTTATGTGTGTGTAATTATTAAAAGAATTTATGAAACCAAGTGAAGAATAAAAAGAGATAATAAGCATAAAGCAGTTCAATTATAATTTTTGCATTAGCAGAGTTATTAAATTCTGTTTATTTTAAAGAATGTGAAGGAATCAGAAGAATATGTGGAAAAATAAAGAATAAAACAAACACGTTTTATTTTTCTGCTTACTCTCCTAGGAGTACCGCAGAGATTTTGTAATTTTTTCCCTTGAGGGATATCTGTTTTATTTTTCTGAACAGAGAAAATAGCCTGTGGAATATAATGACTGTGTGTGTAATAGCATTTAAATTCTCCAGGTAAAATCTGCTGCTAAAATGTTAACATTTGGTTTTAAAAGGATTTGAAGGAAAAGAAAACAATATTGCAAATAATAAATTTACTTGCACTCAGAGTGGGTTGTGAAATGCCTCAGAGAAATGGATGGATTCAGCTGATGAAGACAAAAGATATGTTGGACCATTTGTCTAAGCACAACAGAAGAATTCATAAAACTTGACAATTTTGGATGTTTGTCAAGATTTAATTTTTTTTAGGAAAGAGCAATGAAAGCCATCAGTGATTGCAGCATGCTGAAAATTGGCATATGGAAGTATTGGGAGAAGCCTGAGTTGTTTCTCCTGACACATCCAGGAAGCCTGAAAGGTAGAAAACTGAACTGTGAGGTTGTGATGTAGTTTTAACCATGTTTATTTGATTATTTTTGACTTTTGGAGATTGCAAACAGAATCAAAAACATTTTGTCTAAAGTGGTAATGTATTCCCTTTGTACATCTACATTCTAAAAACAATTTATTTTTTTTTCTAAAATGCAATACTCATTACACTTTTATTGCTTACTTACACTTTAAAAAAAAAGGTCTAAGAAATACTTTCGGCCTATAAATGTGTAACAGATGGAGGTAATAAATGAGGACTCTTGTCATAGTTTGTATTGTTTCCTCTATTTGCACAATTTGTGCTACGTAAAATTATATTAAAAAGCCATAAAAGCCTCACACGTGTGAGGTTCTTCAAAGCAGGTACCTGGCACTGTCGTCTGCTCGCCTCTCTGGGGAGTGTTATTTCCACGATTTGTCTTCTGTTTCAGTCACTCTGGGGCTGACGTCATACTCTTGCTATCAGAGGAATTGTGCAGCAGCAAGTCTAGAGCAATCAGTCTTTGCGGTGCCAGCCTGTTTCTTTGGTGAGTACAATTTAAAATTCTGTGGTACCTTCCTTTTCTTTTATATTGTGATCTGAACTGGATATATGCAGAACTGTGGTTTTCAGAGGGTGGATCGGGCAGATCTCTTCTACCTGTTACATGACAGATGCCCACAATTTTATTATTCTTTTAGAGTTCAACTAAAGGATCTTTCACCTCCAGACATGACAGAGTGCTCTTAGCATTGGAAGGATAAAGAAACAGAAAATTCTTAAAAAGGTTTCTTCTATTTTACTGGGAGATGCACAGTCATTTCTTTGTCACCAGTATTATGGGATCTCTGGAAAACTGGCTAAGTTGCAAGAGACAAGATCTATGTTTTGATCTGTTTTGTGTTTTTCTTCTGTCCCCAAGCTCATCTTCTGGACACGCATCTGCATTTCGAACTACAAGAGAAGTCACGCACTAGTTGGTAGGTGTCCCATCCAGTTATTTACAGCTCACTCTACAGTGTAGACTGAGGATGATGAATTTAAACTCGTTGTTAATCAGGCTAGCACCAGATTGCCTACAGAGAGTTCACGATGCATATGTGAGCGGGTCTCCACCCTGCCCACTGGTCTCCGAGCTCAGGGAGAGCTCTGCAGAACTAGACCATGGTTATCATCAAAATGGCTTGGTGTAACTTCTGTGTACAAGAGCATCAGAGCCATAGTGAAAGCAATTGCATTGCCCTGTTTACATATCTGAGCCAGACAGCTGGATCTGCTGGGAGCGAACACATGTAACTAGTCAACAGCATGCATTTGCTCTGGCAAGCTCTGTGGAGATACCAGTATACAGTGCTGTGCTCAAGCAGCCTGAAGTACCAGGGATACTGGTCACCACATTTTGTATACACTGAAGTATTTAGTGAAAATGGCAAAGCTCATAAATATAAATAATAAATTTTTGGAAGAACAGATATAGGAAAATATTTCCTTTGCAAAAATCATAAACAAATGTTCTTCCTCCTAGCTTCCATTATCTCCTGAAACTGCTCTTGAACAGAAACATCTGTGTCTTGGATAAATCCAAGTCTCTCTTAATATAACACAGCCTTTTCTTGCTTTCTTCATCTGCTTTTAACATCATTTGCCATGCCAAGGGTTGGTACCCTAGACAGATGCTGGGGGCACAGTGGTACCTTGAGAGGAGGCTGATCACCTCATGAAGCACTTGGTCCATTCAAAAGGCATAGGAAAGCGCAATTTTTGTAGGGAGGAAGTTTGCAACTGATAGCTGTCCTCTAAAGGCTTTGGAGCAGAAGCCTGTATGCAAGTGGATAGTCCTTGAATGCATTGGCTTGGGATTGATCACTATAGCCTGTGATTCACAGCAGCAGGGTAAGCACTGCTTCAGGACCACGATTCCCTTCCTTTGGATAGTTAAGTTCTGTAGAGTTAAGAGTGGATGTGTGAGACTCGTAGCCTCCCTTTTTCCCCTGACCTCTCTTTTAGAAGATGATATGGAGGAAAATTAGCCTGGTGAGTATCTGAACTTTGGGCAGGTCCTTGGACTCATCATGGTTTATAATATCTTTCCTAAAGAGTAAATATTTACACTTTATTTTTAGAATATGTGTGGAGGCAGAGATGTTTTGTGTTTTCTGTGAAGAATAATTTCACTGAAGTGAAAGAGCAGTTGAAATATGTCTGTTTGGAATGAGATGTTGGGAGTGTTCCGCCCTCTCTTGCTAAGTCTCCTTTCTTGTCACTGCCAGATCACTGTTTGAGCCCCTTCTCATCTCCAGCCCAGCTTTGGCTGGAGCTATGTGGATTGGAGCTGGCCTGGCAGAGCCTAGAGAAAGAGGAGCTCCTGAAGCCAGAGGAGCTCCTCTCTGATGGGTCCCCTCTCCTTGCAAAGAGCCCCTGCCCTGAGGCACAGTGGAGAAGCAAAGTGCATCTGACACAGAAGTCCTATAATAGTTCTTGTCAGGGACAGAGTTTGGGCAGTAATACTAATGGGGAAGGTATTCCTTCCGAGGACAACAGGAGAGACCAGCCACCCGGGCGACGGCACGAGGAGCTCAAAAGCAGAATGTTTAAACTTTCTCTGCACTCTCTTAGACTGAACTTTGAGGCCCTGGAACAGCATGTATTGTATGGAGTTGTATCAAAGTAGCTTCCCAAGCGAGTAACATAAAGTAGCTAGTGTCCATGGTGAACAGTCCTCCCCATCGTTTCTGTGTGATAGAGAGAGAAGGAAAGGGGCAGGGCGGCCTCGCAGAGCCTGCAGCTCTCCTGGGGTGTTCTGTAAGCAGTGAAAGATGTGCACTTTTTGAAGAGGAAACGTTCACAGGGGTTGAGGTTTAAAAGCCAGATCTGAAGCCTTCAGAAGCAAAACCGCGGATCTGCATGGAATAGTCCAGCTGCTGTAGACCCAGCTCTGACTCTCGCTTGGGGTATCTGAAAAATGCGGAACGCTGGATGGTGCACCCCGCAGTGACTTTTCTTCCCTTCGTTTTCAGAGACGTGCCACAAGACCTGTAGCTTGGACAAGAGTGGCACCTAGTGGTAAGCGAAGAGTCACCCCACACCGTCATGGCCACCAGCATCCCCCCACGCTCTCCCCTTCACTGAGTTTTGTCTAGTGGTGAATGCTAGAGGCTTTGGTGAAACAGCATGTTTTATTAGTTATATTAGTTATTTTATATTAATGCAGTTTTAAATAGAGGCTGGTATGGAGCCACATTTTGTTCAGCATTTGGAATGGGTTGAGAGTATACAAAAGTCTACGGATACCACTTACCTGTTCTTAAAACCTAAGGCTTCTGTAGATCTCAGTCTTCGGTATATATCTAACACATATGTATGTATATGTTCCATTAGGGCCTTGAAATGAGTGATCATCTGGAAGAAAACTGTAAGAAAAGCAATTCTGCCCAGGAAACATTCACAGAAAGAAATGCCTTTCCTCCTAAGGACTGCTCAATAACACAGAAACAGTTGGTATGACACCCGATGAACCACTTTATTGGTCATGATCCTTACCTTTAATTGCTTTTGTATTTATTAAAACAAAACAAAACAAAAAAAACCCAAAAAACAAACAACCAAACAAACCAAGCTGGAATCAATAGAAAAATACCAGTAATAAGAAGCAGTAAAGGGAGCCAAGTTTGCCAAGTTTGCAGTACAGTAATTTGGAAAACTAAGAGCACTTCAGAGCCCAGACGACACATTAAGGGGAGAACTACAGGATCACAAAGCAGCTGGGCGTTGAGGGACCTCTGGAGATCACCTGGCCCAATCCTCACAGTAGCAGAGTGCTACTCTCTCTCTTGGAGGGAGGGTTGCCTATCTTTTAAGTCTTCTTTAAACCCTGAAAGTTGACACTTTGTTATCCATTCGAATCTCCATAGATTATTTGTTTCCAGCTTGAAATATAACCTAGCATCAAGTGCAGTGATAAGGCTAAAACTGTTTTAAACAAACAAACAATCAAGCAAACAAACAAGCTCTATTCCATGCCCAAAAGTGAAAATATCTGAATATTGCTGGTAGATGAGATTGCCTTTCAGGTTTTCTGAAGGGTACAGGTGAAGATGCACAGCATCAGCCACTTCTTGTCAAGTTTGTGTTTTATTTGTTTGGCAACTTAAGGAAAAATTCTTAATGGTGAGGGCGACAGAGCCCTGGAACAGGCTGCCCAGAGAGGTTGTGGAGTCTCCTTCTCTGGAGATCTTCCAAACCCGCCTGCATGCCACCCTGTGCCCTGTGCTCTAGGTGACCCTGCTGGAGCAGGGAGGGTTGGACTAGATGATCTTTAGGGGTCCCTTCCAACCTCAACCATTCCAGGATTCTCTAATTCTATGCTTCAAAGTCACCAGGCCAGCAGATATGACTGAACTCCTGCTGCCCCCAAGCTTTTCCTCAGTAGTGAAAAATTGCCAGGTCTTCTGAAAGGAATGACGCCTGCCAGCCAAGCTGGCAGGTGCCAATTCACGCCATTACCTGAGAGGAAAAAGCATAAATGTATACATATGTTTGTATTTTGTATAACGAAAGACAAGTGTATGTACAATGCTCACAACTATTGTCTCAACTTAAAACAGCACAGGTAGCAAGGTATCAACAATATTAATTTTAATGGCATTTGGAAGCATGCAAGGTCATTTAGCAGCTAATAAATAACTGGTCTGACTGTAATGCATATAACTTTGCTGTTCTCTTTTTTATTTATAGCAACAAATAGAGAAACAATTAAAATGCTTGGCCTTTCAAAATCCGGGGCCCCAGGTAGCTGACTTCAATCCTGAAACTAGAGAGCAGAAAAAGAAAGCACGCATGTCACAGATGAACCAAGATTTTTTTTATAAGCCCAAGTAAGATGGACTAATTTCTTACATAATTAACTTTTAAAAAATTTCTATTATGCTGTTTACTGAGGATATATGAGATGAATATAAGCTTTACTATTTTTCAGAGAGACTATTTATTAGATGTGAAAGCTGTGCTGGGGTAAAAAAAAGCAGGGTTTGTTTTAAAGGAGTTTTATTTCTTTTGGGTACATGTTTTTAATAACAGTGCCTGCAGCAATTAGGATATAATGCTGGCATTTTACTGTCTTGTAAGTGTGCTGAAGTGGAAATACTTGTTCCCGAACAAACATTTTACACATTATTTATATTTAGTCTTTGAGTATGTTGAAGTGGTCTCTGAGTATCACTTTGTTGTTGTTGTTGTTTTTGTCTCCTGCAGAATCACAAGGAAGTATGACAAACATGGCAGACTGCTTTGTAATAATGTTGATTTATGTGACTGCCTGGAAAAGAACTGCCTGGGTTGCTTCTATCCTTGCCCCAAATGCAATTCGAACAAATGTGGACCCGAATGTCGCTGTAGTAGGAAATGGGTTTATGATACCATTGAGACTGAGGCTGGGGATGTGATCAGCATGTTGCCATTTATTGTCCCTGACTGATGATGTTCCTGTTTTTATTAGCATCTGAGCAAAGTTCCTCTTTCTTCTAATTTTATTCAAGTAAATCTTGGTTTTATGAATTGACCCTAGTGAAGTGCCTCCAGTGGTGTTTATGCTTGTTTGCCACTGCTATCCAGCACATCCTAACCTTCTCCATTAGGCCTGATATGTATTTCATTCCATCTCCTTCTTGTCAGGGCGGCACCTAAACAGTTCCTGCTAAATCTTGTCCTTCCAGAAAGGAGGATGTCTGGACTGCTGTGAGCAACAATTCTCTCACCCTGGGAAGCTGAATCACATTTCTTGGAATCAGCTTTTTGTCTTTTCTTTGCCTGTGCATTTACTCAGGGGTGTGACATTGCTGTCCTTTTGTGAACGCTCATCTAAGCGTGTCTCCCTTCTGATACATTTATGCCTTGTCTGTCCGAAGTCCCAACAGGGCACACTGTTGAAATAACACTGCCCTTAACACTGTCTTTTGAAACTGTGTCATCACTTTCCAGTTGCCTTAGGATATAAAGGAACATGGAAACTGTTCTTCAATTCTTTCCTGTTGCCCAGTGCTACGAGACTAAAACCAATCTGTTGAGTCAGCAAGTTTTTCAGCAAATTGTGCACTTGCCTTGACTAGGAAATAACTATAGTTCAGACTAAAGGAAATAGCTTTTATTCTTCTGCCACTGGAAAGAACTCTCCTCAGTTCCAGGAGATTCCTCCTTACCATTAGTCATGGTGGACTTGAAATACCCTGTCGTCATATGAGCTTGGTTCAGCATGGGGACCTTTCGTCTCCACTTGCACCTCCCTGCAGAAGTGAGGGTCCCTGTGGCTTCCAAGGTGAGAAGGCTGCTGGCTGCCCCGGACCACCATGTCACTAGGTAGTCATCCACCCCGGGTGCTGGGCTCCTGGGCCTTCCTCTGAGCCATAGGCTCCTTGGCACTTGACAGGATGCATAGCTTTTCAAAAAATAAAATTAACTTGCATGGGAAACATGGGGGGTGCATTCCCTTGAATCTGAAATGGTCAGGTTTGAACTAGCTTTACTTTCTTTACACTAACGTGCAAAGAATGAACAGTTTCTCAGGAAAAATGTTAAATCTTTGAGTAATGTGATTAAACCCAGATTGGTGTAAAGCTAGAACGCTATTATTAAACTCATTGTTTGGTGTTACTTTGTGTGTTTTTAGTGTGGATTTTGACCCCATCACTGTCATAGCCAAATGCAGACAGCAGGAGAGAGACACTTATTGCAGCTTTGAAAATAAAGCTGAGAGGCAGCAGCCAGCGCCAGGGCAAGGACACTGAAACCAGGAACGCGCTGCGCAGGCAGTTCTGCTGTGCGGTGAGAACAGCCCCTCACTGCTGCAGACCACGGTCACCCCAGCTTGCCCAGATCAGCAGCTGAGAGTTGCACAACAAGTTCTATTAGGGCAGCTACCTGCAAACAAACAAACAAACAAACAAACAAAGCAAGACCAATGTCACAAGAATTGATGGTGAAACTTACTGGTACATAGATATATGTAAAACAGTAAGAGTGCCCTTGTCTGATAGCTTTTGTCAGGCAGTTATGTAATGCCATACTGGAGAATGTTTGCAGGTGATTTTTAAATGAAACCACTGACAGAGAGAGATGATATATTTTAACCTCTTATGAAATTGTTCAGTTTTGAGATGACATTAGGTCATCTCTTTACCTCATAAGGTATCAGTCTAAACAGAATATGTTTTGACCTTTGGGATAAGGTCACTTTAGATAGCTTATGTTTAAAATTATTAAGGTCAAAGCAGCTCAATGAACTGTTTCACATGGACTGCCACTTTTTCTTCTCTCTCCCCCCCAAAATATATGGGTTAAACAGTCTGTGACACTGTCAGTTTACTCAGGCTATCTGCTCCTTGGCTATCTGTGGCTGCTTTGCCGATAGCCACCAGTGATTCGCACTGCGGCTCACGGAAAGATGAAAACTCAGGTGTATGTTAAAGTATAGACTAAGATACCACTTGCCAATCTTTTACCTAAAAATTGTTTAAATTGGCTTAATTTTAATTCACTGTGCCCTCTACTTCCTTTTCCAGTTTAAAAGGAACTTCTGCATATTGGCTAGAGACTACTTAATCCCTTTGCATAGTTTAGAGAAAAATTAATCCAAACTGTTATTGTACTTAATACTATATGTCACCATCTCTTGGGGCAAGAATTCTCATAGTTAATATCTCTCAGTCTCTGTGATCCATACAAACACAGAAAAGCCATAAAATAAATAATATACTTTGAACGTTTTTCTGCATAGTTTTCTTGATCCTTTTAACATTTCCTCTCAGAACACAGCTGGACTTTCTCTACATATATCCAAATCAGAGGAGATTTAATTGACTTTATGAGAAAACTAGAAGAGCTCAACTACAGAAAATTTCTGGATTTCTCTATTTTCTGGATAAATATTTAAGTGAATGTAATCCTAGCTAAATACTTGTGCCAAAAGCATTACAGCTGCTGTTGCTCTCTACTGGGTTTCTTAACGGATGATAGCAGTACTAACTGTAGCTTCTCCTTTGACACATTGACTGTGAATTTAAAATATTTTCAGATAAATTATGCCTGTTTCAGCTGACCTCTCTGTTTAATCCCATTCTACCTGGAAAACAGACACATCAAGTCTGAGCTACCTGCAACTTTGAATATTTGTGAGAACATAGTATTTGCATTTCAAGAACCCTCATTTGTAACCTTGGCATGAACCACAAGATCTGCTATCCCAGTAAAGTATCTTTTCTCCAATGGCCTGGCCCCATCAACTACTGATCTGCTTCCACCTCCACTCAGGTGCAAACGTATGAGCACCAATTCCTCATCATACCTGTCCGTGTTATAGTTATATATTACATAACCTGTGTTATAACTGAGTAAATTAAAGTCCAGTGTCTGCAGCTGTATTTGCTGTGTGCTTATGGCTACACTCGAGTAAAGGGAGTGTGCTGTGCAGCACTCACTGCTGCTGTGAAGGACTCTGTCACTCAAGTTGCTTCATTCTCTTCACATGACCAGATCTAAGTGTTCATGTACAATCATAAAACAGCAAACTATAAACCAGTATATAGAACAAATAAAGTGAAATCCCCCTGCCTGTATTCATTTGAACAGCATCTGACATTGCAAATAGTCCTGTCGATTTTAATGAGATTTTTCATACAGCAGGATGCAGCTAATGACATGGAAAGAG